CGTCATTTTAAATGTGCCAAAGTATTCGAGACATGTGCATTTTGATCAATAACCTTTTTCAAAATATTTTTAGCTCAATATGTCGGAAACGTCTGCGACCTTGCAACCATCGTGATGTGTGGTTTTCTGCTTTGTACCGTAAAATACATATCATGTATCAGGTAGAACGCGGAAACACGTGTTTGAGCGTGTGCGGACCACCATTCTCAGCAAGGTATTTCATCTAATATTCATATGCACGACGTGCCTAGCATGTCGTTTCATATTTTTATTTCATTTTGTGCAGTATGTGAGACCACGTGTGTGTGCGTATGTGCAATGCACATCCCAGCAAGATACTAAATGTTATGGAACCAGTGAATGATCACGACCACCGTGTTTATTGAGACCCAAACCGCCCGAACCAAGATGGCTGCTTATTTATTGTTAACAGATTCAAAGGGATATTGTGCTCTAATTTCCTATCAACAGTTAATATGTTTTTGCCACATAAATGACTTCTCCATCGAAGATCTCTTTATATTCGTCTATCAAATTAAAACGATTGCATATTATTATACACGAAAGTGGTTTCATTGGATTAAGATACCCAAGGTTAGCCTAGCATTAAATATTGACCGTCGTCACTTCCGCATCGGTTCCGTTCAATATAACAAAAAACACAAGGGGTATATTATATATCCTCATGTTTACCCCCACTACTTCATTTCATCTGAAGACGACACGTGAAAATTGTGTTGAAACGTTATGTGCTTTGTTATTAAAGAAGTGAGTTATACCATAATATACCCCTTGTGTTTTTTGTTATATCTACTCTCCACTTCTAAATGTCGTTCAAATCTTATCTTGGTTCTGTTCAATCCAGTTAAACTTTCGTTTCGAATAATGTCGCTAGTTTCGATACGGAGATGCAAAATAGTGACAATGGTCATGTCTTAGCCATGTAACTTCACAGTCGTGCATCAGGATATTATTTTTTCAGATGCTCGATGACCACAATCAGCCACTATATCTATCAGAATATTCAGACTATTCATTCAGGCAATGTTTGATTTTCAATTTTCATCGCGTTATGAAAGGAATAATAAGAAGACTGTATCCCTTTAATACTAGCATGACAGTCAGCAATATTTTATATTCTTATCTTCCAATCTTAATCCTCAGTTTTATAATTATTATTTTTTGGTCGTTGTCATAAATCAGAATAAAAGAGTTCGTAATCGTCGGATTCATGCAAGGTGGGTCAATTTCACAAACTCACAAACAAATGTCAACCATTGCAGAATTCAAAGGGCGAAAATGGACACATTTTCATTTTATGTTACAAATGAATCCATACAAAGTGGGCTAACTTCACAAATTCACAAACAAATGTCAACTATTGCAGAATACAAACTCAACTATATTCATTGATGTTAAACTATATTTAACTTAAATAGTACTTAACAATGCCGAAATATGAACTTCATCGAACCAATGATGATGGGATGTAAAATGGGATGTAAAATCAAATCAAGAGCGGAAACACTCAAGACACTCTGTTTGAACTAGTAGAATAAATAAAGGAGATTCTAGTAGAAGGTAGGGTGTAATGAGTACAGTATGAGATGACAAGAGTAGTTTATTAATTTAACTCAGTGTACAGCATGGATATTAACAGCATGATTATCATCCTTCAACTCATAAATTAACTACCGCCGCCATCTTATTCTCTATTTAACACGTGCTGTGGCGACACGTGCAGTCGTTAAGGCTAATGATCAACAAGCGACCCCTAGAGGGAATGCGATTTATTTTCTGATTTCCTACAGACAACAAATAATCAATCGCAATCATTTTGTTTTCCCAGACGCACTGATTCTAACCTATGATGGCAATTCTGACAGATACGGATCCAGTTTGACGCAGCATAATTCTGAATTGTAACATATTAAAGAAGTAATTATTTCTTTTACTATTTCGAGTCAGTTTGGCATTTTCGCGGTCCATAATGGCTTGATACATCAGATTGTTGTGTGAATAATGGTTTTTGAGTTTATTTCGAAATTTAGTTTTATTTAGTAGAGACTTTGTACATCTATGACATGCATATTCTGGGCAAGGATGAAGGGGTTGAGAGGACTTTCAATATTTTCTTTTATCATTTTACATAGGGAGAGGATGGTTTGTGGCCTTGTCATGAAAGATTTTTTGTCCCCTCACCTTATGCTTCCTAGAAACGCCACAGATATTCTGATCGGAAGTAATTACGGTCGAGTTCGATATTGACCAATCATAGATAAGAGACTAAGGTACGAAGAGAATAAGTGTGGATATATCAAGCAACATTTTCAGAATTGCGTATATTTCAGTAAGTATATTGACAACTTGCACATCGTTAGAGCAGCACCATTTTCCTCAAATACTAAACACTGTCAGTGTAACAACCACATTCAGCTATATAACACACCCATCTAAACAAGTGGGGTATCTTTAATTTAAGTGTAATTATGGATCTAATAGAAGTTCGCAGGCTCACGTCGTTAATTTGAGAATTAATCTGACAACTCACAATATTAGCTGGGATTACACAAGTTCATGATGGCGCCATTTTCAGTCGTTTGCGACTGACGAATCATTCATTTATTTATCCTATTAAGATTTACCCATTTTTCCAATCCTTTGTTTAGGGAATGGTTATATCTAACCAGAACAGGTGACTAAAAACATAAAACATAAAACAATTTTAGGTATTAGCCTAGTAAGAATCAGAAATAGCTGTAAGTTGTTTGGAAAGAAGCCACAGTGCTTGTTACTGAATGTTTCTAGTATGGTGTAAGCTAAACTCACATGATTTCGACCAAATAATTGATCCCTTCTTAATGTTTTAAACACTTCATCTTTAACTGTGTATTCTGAAGGAACACAATTTTATATTTTAAGGACACGACAGTAAATATGACAGAAACAAGTGCATATTCATAGTGATGATTTACGTTGACAGAGTCCCACTGAGTTATTATTTTCTTTGACCCTAAAGGTCATTATTAGCACGTGCACTTGTAATAAAATTAAACGGATATGGTAACTAACTAATGACGTCACAGCAGGTACCTGTCAATTGTATGTAAATGAGTAATATTTAATACACCCTCAAGGTCTGGTCATCCTGGGGGGTTGGGCTATATCAAACACTGGCTTTATTACACCAAACTAATAATATTTTATATAAATATGAATTTTGAACGGGCTTGTCGCCTCCCTACTGAGACTGTCTTAAAATATAGGGTAGGTTTGTAATTGATACCTACCGTATAATGAATAAATTAACCCCCTCTGTTTTATTAGTGCTCTTTATGCAAAATTAGATCTAGTGATAAAGATAAGTATATAGTATAATATATTATAACAATTTTTAAATACTCAGGAACAAGAAACTTAAATCTTGCAGTCATTCCCTGTATATGTACTGTAATTGTTGTATTCGTCATTCAAATTGTCTGCATTGACGCAAATAAAAACTAAAAACAATCTGCTCAACGCTGTACAGCACTGATAAAAGATTAAAAGTAATTCCAGGGATAAAATTAAGAATTCTAAGGGCTAACAAAAAGATAGAGGGAGGGGGAAGGGGGCTGTAATTCTACCCCTAAGAACATTTCAAAATTTAGTATAGATTTGCTTGCATCTGAGGCCATTTCGGACATTTTCTTGCTAACGACCGTGATGATCACCACTAGATATACCAAAAAGACATAAAACAATAAGGAATTGACATTTACAATTCAGGCTGTTTTAGGATTCCGCATGGATGTAACATTTCTTAAGGTATTTTGGAGCCACTGGACAGCCCGTATGCTTGTAGGAGGTCAATGATGGATGAAAATAACGAACATTTCCTCGACAACTAACAAACGTTAACGCTTGATTTTGCTATCTATAAAGAAATTTGATGTTATCGGCGAGTCAGGATATTAACAACTTCAATAGATCAACTAAAAGGCTTCACCCACTACAGCCCTACCCCCCGACCCCCCCCCCCCCTCCTCCCGCCCTTTCCTAATCTTTGCCAGTGGCACTCGACTTTACTCTTGGTTGATATCTACTACAACGAAAGGAATCAGAATGATACATTAATTAAATTAACATACTGTACCATTTTACGAATTGGAGCGGTTATTTTGGAGGATTTGAGAATTACGGACGCATTGATATTTGGTTGAAAACCCACCTCCATTTCAAACGATCTACAATATCATTAATCTTAAATATTTTATTTTATTGAATGATTATCCAGTTACAAAAAGATAAATAAATAAGTAAAAAAAAACGTACGTTACAACATTATGACGTCATAATTCAAAAGATGTCATACCAAGTTTCTTATTCAGTCTACAAAGACGTGCGTAAGAAGCATCTCTGAGAAATTTGTAAATTTTCATCAAAATACTGATAGAAGAGTTACGAAGAGAAGTAAGTTTTTGTTTTTAGGCTTTCTGTCAAGATTTCATAAAAAATAATCCATTTAGCATTAAATAGTTTAGATAGTTTCGTCATGTGTGAAAGCGTTCATACCAAAGAGCAGTGACGGAGCAAGTGGGGGTACAGAGGGAGCGTCCCTCCCCCGGCCCCCCTAGAAAAATGATTTTTCCATCCTAGTTTATTTCTTACAAAAGTGACTTTTAATTTTATATGTTTTTGCCCTAAACATTACCTCAGAATGAACCAAATTTCTAAATTTTTCAAAATCGTTTTGTTTTTTTTCTCAAGCGTTCGAAGGGGTGCTTGCGTGTTAGGCGCTATCCACAGAGTTGTCTCATTTGGAATCTCAATCCCGACAGTTATTCAACCATTTAGTCAATCTGCCCCCTATTTTTAACCCCAGTATCAGAAAGCTGGCGTCGCCATTGTCAAAGGGTTCATAGAGACTTCAGAAGTGATTATGACGTCATTGTACTGTTCTAAAGATAACAATATTGCTAAAAGTTGTAACTACTAGTTTTTGATGCTTGCTTTTAGAAATGGAGGGTATTCAGGCGAAAATAAAAGCTAAATGCAGAGCAAATAGAGGTATACCATTGAGACCAAGACGGCAAGGAAGAGTTCCTCAGAACAACAAAGATGATAGTATTATAGGTGATAGAAAGGGTCTTGATATTGGGATACAATCACATGGTGATGCTGTGGTGGACAATATTAAGATGAAAGGAATACTATTTGAACATCATACAAGTAAGTAATGGTGCTTCTTATTATTTCGTAAATAGTGAAGAATATTGACCAAAACTAGATAAACCAAGTTCAATTATTCTATAGGTTCAGAGATGTTAATTGTTTCATTCTCGATTCGGTCAAAGTGGGGCCTGTAAGGATAATAGAAAGTTAGATACTATGAACCATATATTCTTCAATTTCAGAACTAAACAAGACATCAACACAACAGATGACTATAAATAACAAGGGTAACAATCAACAACTCAATCTGAATGAGAAGGAAGAGTCGTCCTTATGTGTTCAAATGATAGCAGATCATATTTACTCAGTCAATGTCGAGACATTTGATAAATACCAGATAGAAGGCGCAACATCCGCTGCTGAAATATACAGGCAGTTTCTGATCACCAAACCAACGATGTACTTTCAAGAACTAAATCTACTAGGTGAGACAATATCATTATTCATGCTGAAATTAACAAATCATAACATTCAGATTGAAATACGATTATTTTGACGTTTATATTGAGTGGATTCTTTCCGAAACTGTAACATGAAGTCGTCACTTTTACATTTGAAATAATAATTGTTGACTTCCCTTTTAGCTCTCTCAAAGTATCGCCGTGATATGTATATATTTCTGATGTTGCAGACTTTAATCTAATGTTATTATTTATTTGCAGGCAATAACATAACTCAACAAGTACCTGAGAAAAAACCAAAATCAAAAGTAGTAAGGATTATTCATAGTATGAGGAAGAGTATGAGGTCAATGATGGGTAGACCGAAACAATAGACTATTATAACATCACAGATAATTTATATATAACACCATATCTAATCTGATTTACATGGTTGACTATTTTACCTTAGTGCTGGACTAACAGATACTATTAGTGGTGTAAATTGATAAAGAATTTAATTAAGATTTGTTGACAATATAATAAAGAGAAAAGTAGTAGTATAGTTTATGTGTTTTATTATAGTAATTAATACCTTGAATTCTACTAACACTTTCTACAATGATACAACTGAAAAGACATTTCTCAGATATTTGATAATATAAATATGTCAAAATGAAGATCCCTCACAGATCCCCCCTAAATGGCTTACGCCTGTGGCGCTTCACCAGCGATTCCGAATTTAAATTCTCAAGCCAGACAGTTACTCCCCCCCCCCTCCCTTTCTCACCCTTACCCTCACCATTAAGGTAGTCTGCCACTGCCGGCACTGAAGACACTTTTACAAAATTCATTTAACATGCCCTTTGCAGAATGCTTCGTTTGAAGATTGAAATGGCCAGCCCTGTAACCTCTTGATAAAGCTCAGACTCTATCATTTCCTCAAGAAAACGTTAAAAAATCCTTAGAAATCATGATTTAAAAATGATAGAAGTCTTGAAGAAAAAAAATTGATTTAACAATATGAAATATTAGAAAGGACAGACAGTGGGTATATCAATTACAATCTAAGTTGGGTTTATCTATTATAATATTTATAAACTTCCAGCACGGAAAAAATAAATTTAGAAATAAAAATTACAAGTTAAAGTTATAAATTACAGGAAAACACAGCAAGAACTGACATTAGATTCAGAAGATAAAACAACTTTTACTAATAAATCTCCCACTAAAAACTAGACTTGTCTTACACTATAATATTCAGCTTTATTTTATTTCAAGTAAATCTTACATAAAATTGTTAAGTTGCTGATTGTATGGTGGCTTGTTTAGGACACCCGTCTGACAAATTGTACATTCTCTGCGCCGAATGCTCTATCAATTTCATATAACTAAAATTGAGCCCTGTCAAATAGAATGACAAATATTTAAATTTATCCCCTAATTATTGTTGAAGATTGGAATGACAAAATGTATATTGAAAGAATACCAAGACACTAAAATGCGGTCTGGTTTTTTGGAGAGTATACAACAGGAAATAAAAAAAGCAATTACATGAGTGTCTGGTCCGAATATGATGGAATAGATTCTGGATAGATTCCCGGATAGATAACGTTCGGACATGAATTTCAGACCAGACCTGTACCTCGCATATTTGACCTTATTCTCCTAAAATATTTCCTTTGAATACATCTATCACAAAAATAGTTAGCTCACTTGCCAATATCGAGAACACAGATAAAATGATAATAAAAGGAATACAATAAAATATGACAAGCAATAGTCTAGGTTGTCTCTTTGATTTCAATCGTAATTCAACACAGATCTACATTTCAAACCAAATAAATACAATTTACATAGAGTGGTCTCTGTAAGGAATTGATTTTATAACTATGTTAACTACGGTAGCAATACACTCCGGCTAGACACAAATTATCAACAGATTAAAATAATCATCTCTAATTGGAAACGGATTGAAATGCAAATTTTGAGAATCAGACAGTCACAATGGGATACTGAATTAACAGAACAACAACCTGCTTGGTCAGATCAGATCACGATGTAAAATCTGTTTGAAAACTGTCGACTTTACTGGTATCAAAGTAACTTTCAGAGAATAGGTATGTAAGTTTTCAAGAAGCAACAAAAAGCAAAGAATGCGACCACATGGTAGAAAAGTCCGAAAATAATTCGTAGCGTCAAGTCAACACAACACTTCTGACAAAAACTGGAAGTCCCTGAGCAGAAAGTGAGCACCAAATCTCAACAGCCCAATTTGTCTGAAAACGATAGATAGCACTCATATAAAATATTTTTCGTTTTGTCTGATTTTCAATAGGGTTCATCCTTATGTGAAACAAACATGCACACCAAATCTTATCAAAATCCATCAAGAAACCAATTCTCTACCGTGTCCACAACACATTTTCAAATAAAAATTTAAAGCGTTTTCAATAGGGTTCATCCTGATTTTGTCAAATCCATCAAGAAACCAGTTCTCTACCGTGTCCACAACACATTTTCAAATAAAAATTTAAAGCGTTTTCAATAGGGTTCATCCTGATTTTGTCAAATCCATCAATAAACCAGCTCTCTAACGTGACCACATAACGACAGACAAACGAAGAGACAGACAGGGGCGACGACTATATACGCCTACATTAATGTGTGGGCGTATTAAAATCAACCCTGGTCAATTTGAGATTCAAAGAACTTCTCTGGGGCTTACATTTGAATTTATATAAAAATGGCATGACAAAAGTGATTTGGAATTCACCGGACAGTGAGTAGCGGACATAAACTAGACAAGTCTGAATATTTGGAAAGGAAACAAATGAGCTATTATATAAACTGATAAATTTTGTCTATTTTAGTGTCTAAGAAAAAATATCCTTGGATTCGAATCAAGATAAAATTATTCTTGTTTCTATAAAAAGATTTTCATGTTAGATTGGGGAGAACAGGTTTCGTATTTTTACTCAAATAGATGGCTTCCTGTTGCTGGAGTATAACAAATAAATACAATTAGACAAATCAAATGGAGTTTTACGTCGTATTTTCATGCAAAGTATTGACGTATCGAAATGCTATGTAGCTTGCATCTATTGTTTATTGAGACAATAAGATGGACTTAGACGTCTTAAAGTCTGGTTTCCGCTGAGCGAAAGAGCGATGTCAAGACAAATTTGTCAACGCCAGTTTGTTTCGCCTGTCTCTGATTGGTTGCAAAGACCAAGCTTGAAAATTTTTTTATGAACTTGCGAAGGTACAGCGAAGGTGAAACTACGCTTCATAGCTGTGCTTTGAAACTTGCCACGCTCGAGCGAAGAAAAAACTTGTGCTTCGCTTAGCAGAGTTTAAACTGGCTTTTATGGTTAGAAAGGATGAGGTACTATACCCACTGTGATATAATGTTCGGCATTATCGACAGAGTAGTAAAAAAAAGGTCATCTGTACAATATCTACTATACCTTGTGTGTTTCACATGACAAGCGTAAGAATTCCAGAACCTGCAGTTATTTAGAATTCAAAAGAAAATTTGATACTTCCTAAATTCCAGCAGATTAAATTCAACTCCCCGACTAACTCGAGTTCTAAAACTGGTTTTTGTCACTTTGACAGCCATTTCTTTTCAATTGTTATAGAATACAAACAATAAACGATTTCTAAAGAATTCCGACCCTATTAAATTATACTACAAGCTATTCTCTCTACTTTCATTTTTCAACCTTATTTTTTGTAAGGGACATAACCCAATAAGAAAAGAAATGTTAAAGGTTTTATTGGTAAGAAAGCAGGAATTCAGCAACGAAAATTAAATTAGTAACATTAAATGTAAAGTCTGGATGGAATTCATCCACTTTGTATAATTCAAGTAAGTATGAACTAAACTCAGGATTCTTTGGGTTGCTATTCAATGCATATGTGAAACACCTTTTCAAGGTCCATATCAAACAAGGTGTCCAAACCCTTGCTAGAGAATTGAAAATTACTGGACAGTCCAAACATACCTTTCCTATACTGTCCAAACTCATCATTGAAAAGTTCAAACAGTTAGTTATTGACCTGTCGTATGTCAAAACAAATCACAGGAGAGTTAACACAATCACTGAAAATTTCAAACTAATCACTGAAGAGTTTACACCATCACTAAACATTCCAAACTCATCACTGAAGAGTTTACACCATCACTGAACATTCCAAACTCATCACTGAAGAGTTTACACCATCACTGAACATTCCAAACTCATCACTGAAGAGTTTACACCATCACTAAACATTCCAAACTCATCACTGAAGAGTTTACACCATCACTGAACATTCCAAACTCATCAGTGAAGAGTTTACACCATCACTAAACATTCCAAACTCATCACTGAAGAGTTTACACCATCACTAAACATTCCAAACTTATCACTGAAGAGTTTACACCATCACTAAACATTCCAAACTCATCACTGAAGAGTTTACACCATCACTAAACATTCCAAACTCATCACTGAAGAGTTTACACCATCACTGAACATTCCAAACTCATCAGTGAAGAGTTTACACCATCACTGAACATTCCAAACTCATCACTGAAGAGTTTACACCATCACTAAACATTCCAAACTCATCACTGAAGAGTTTACACCATCACTGAACATTCCAAACTCATCAGTGAAGAGTTTACACCATCACTGAACATTCCAAACTCATCAGTGAAGAGTTTACACCATCACTGAACATTCCAAACTCATCACTGAAGAGTTTACACCATCACTGAACATTCCAAACTCATCACTGAAGAGTTTACACCATCATGGAACATTCCAAAGTCATCACTGGAAAGTTCAACTAAAAATCCAACATTAGGGAGTCCCAACCCATCACTTGAGCATTCAAACCCAGCAATGAACTAATCCAAACCCATATTTCTTGTTCAAACCATTTTTGGAGTTTCTTACTGAGGTCAAAGGAGAACCCATACCCTCACTTACAGACTCATTCGTCCCTTGTTATAAAAAATGCATGACCAGTCCTTGCCATAATATTGCAATTTAACCTAGCTTTTAAGACTAGATGTTATGCACACAAGTGAAAATACAACGCGGTTGAATGGTGTTAAAGACTGATAATAAAAAAACAAAGTTAAGAGGTATTATTTTATTCTTCATTCCAAGCATTTCTCATGAGTTACATTGGACTATTTTTGAAGCTGCATATCTGCCAATTATAACTTTTACAAACTCAAATATTTAATATAATTCAGTAGTCATGTCCTCTTCAATTGGATATCTTTGATAATTCCTGATTTATGGGGTATAAAAATTAAATTTTCTGTCTTTCTTTGACAATTAACTTGCATCTCATGACAAAATTAACATTTTCCACACCAAATATCAATCCTCAAATTCACAATATTATTTTAGGTTTACTTTGTTTTTTTTTAAATAAATATTTTTTCAGCAATAAAATGGATAAATTAATTTTTGCCTGGATCTTCTTTCAAACTGACAGTTCTGTTAAACACCAACTGAAAATATCAAAACAAAGTATGAATGTCACACAAATAAAATAACATAATAAAACTTTGTACAAGCAAAACCATTCTAGTCACCAAAGATCTCTTCCAAGGCATGACAAAATCAGAGCAATAATTGTATATTGGTGGATTCCTGAAATAAGAAGTATCATGAAGTGTTTCAACAAGAGAAAAACATGGTCTGTAATGTTACGCATATTTCTTTCAGAAGAAACTCTAAATGATTCTATTATTCAAACTGGGGTAAAAAAATAAAATATTTGAGAACTTGTACATTGTCTTAACTAAAGAATAATGTTAAGGAAATGGGTAATATCTGTTGGAAACAAGAAGAATCGCCCCTCGGACTTGTGTGACATTTTAAGAGACTTATGTGTAACATTTTAAGAGACTTACGTGTAACATTTTGAGGACTTATGTGTAACATTTTGAAGACTTGTGTAACATTTTGAAGACTTGTGTAACATTTTGAAGACTTGTGTAACATATTTAGAGACTTGTGTCCCATTTTTAAGACTTGTGTAACATTTTGAAGACTTATGTAACATTTTTAGAGACTTGTGTAACATATTTAGAGACTTGTGTCCCATTTTTAAGACTTGTGTAACATTTTTAAGACTTGTGTCACATTTTTAAGATTTGTGTAACATTTTGAAGACTTGTGTAACATTTTAGAGACTTGTGTCACATTTTTAGATTGTGTAACATTTTAAGAGACTTATGTGTAACATTTTTAGAGACTTACGTGTAACATTTTGAGGACTTATGTGTAACATTTTGAAGACTTGTGTAACATTTTAGAGACTTGTGTAACATTTTAGAGACTTGTGTCACATTTTAGAGACTTGTCACTTTTTTTAGGACTTATGTAACATTTTTAGAGACTTGTGTAACATTTTGAAGACTTGTGTAACATTTTAGAGACTTGTGTCACATTTTTAGAGACTTGTGTCACATTTTTAGAGACTTGTCTGATTTTTTTAGGGTCTGTGTAACATTTTTAGAGATTTGTGTATTATTCTTGAAAGAAAAAGAAGATGAATTACAATTTGTGTATCATCCTAGAACTTGTGTATTTTTTGGTAACGTTCAACCTTGAAACTTCAAGAGTTTCAAGAGTGAATGAGTAATAACAAAATACAACTAGTTTATTGAATAATTGTATGTAAGCATTTTACAGGGAGATCACATTATCAAAGAGGCCCAACTGCAGTTATTGTAAGTGTTGAATTAATGTATATCAGCATGACATGAGGAAATGTTTAGAAACAATGTATAGCTTGTATCATAAAGATAAAGGTAGTTGAACTGAGGCCACACAGAATATAATATGATAACTACATAATCATATACAAATAAATCTTATATCTTTTATTTTATCCACACTTTAGAGAGGTTGAAATCTAGACCTACCACCTACGAAATATGTTAAGATGAACACAAAAATACACAAAACACAGGTTTAATCTCTGAATTTGATTGGCATATTCCTGATGTTTGTTTAAATGGCATCAATGACTCTAGGCTATTCATGATAAAACAGAAGTTTGTTTATTTTAATAATGTAAAATTATAGGACAAGATAACAAGATAATACCTAATTCTGACAAACCCACAGTTAAAGATAAAGTTAATCATAAATCTATACTTAAAAGGAATACTACGTCTTAGAATGAACATAAAATTTGAGAATTTTAAACTTGGCCAATAAGAGCATATTCATCAGTAGATATACCTGGTGTCATAAATAACATAACAGGATCCTTATATAATCGATAAATCCAAAAAACTTAGTAATTATCCATAAATATGCAATTAACTCTTGAAAAACTCTAAATATCAAGATTAAGTGTTTTTCAATAATTACTTAGTTTTATGAATTTTCCAATTATCTAGATTTTCCAGGGATTCTGTTGTAACTTTATAACACCAGGTATGTTGACTGATGAATATATACTCATATTGACCATTTCGAGAACTTAAATTTTATGTTCATTCTAAGACGTAGTATCACTTTAAAAGCAGATTGTTGTTTGTTCCACCTTTCCAAACTTTAACATCATTGATATCTTTGTTGTTTTCCCATGTTTTCTCAATTTTTCCATTTTCTCTTATAGATGTTCCCAAGCTTAAGAAAAAAGCCTTTCAATGCAACTCTTTTCATCCGAGTTTTAATTGTTAATAATGGTGGTCTTAAAGAACTAGAAAATTGTCTACAAGTGCACATTGGGCAAAGTTCAGGTTCGAGATCACAATGACTTTGCATGCCTTCAACATGTTCTTACAGCCACATGTTGAAAAGTTGTGAAAATGATGTGTCCTGGCAAAATTTCAATGAAAAAAGTTAGATCTCATTGCAGTCAACATATAACAAGATAAGTATGAAATAGAATGATTGAGAAGTAGTTAGCTTGTAGTTAAATAGCTGTTAAGTGCACATAGTTTACAGTTACAACATGTTAGATTAGGGTTTATCATCTATTAATACTGCCTTAAAGTGGCTATTCTATCAAATATCTTACCTAGTTTAAACAATTATAACTGCATTGAATTGAAATGTCTTGTATACATGTATAGCATTAGGATACAACAGTTTTATATCTCTTAATGTGCTGTGATACTTCTAAATGGATTATGTACAGCATTGTTTATTGTATATAGCAAAGATAATTAGATATATTTATATTGTACTTTATTGTTTTGTTATATTGCAATGTAATTGTATTTGAGTGTATTGTATTTGAGTGTATTGTATTTGAGTATATTGTATTTGAGTGTATTGTATTTGAGTATATTGTATTTGAGTGTATTGTATTTGAGTGTATTGTATTTGAGTATATTGAATTTGAGTATATTGTAATCAAGTATATTGTAATCGAGTGTATTGTATTTGAGTATATTGTATTTGAGTGTATTCGTATTTGAGTGTACTGTATTTGAGTGTATTGTATTTGAGTGTATTTGAGTGTATTGTATTTGAGTGTATTGTATTTGAGTGTATTGTAATTGAGTGTATTGTAATTGAGTATATTGTATTTGAGTGTATTGTAATTGAGTATATTGTATTTGTGTGTATTGTATTTGAGTGTATTGTATTTGAGTGTATTGTATTTGAGTGTATTGTAATTGAGTGTATTGTATTTGAGTGTATTGTATTTGAGTGTATTGTATTTGAGTGTACTGTATTTGAGTGTATTGTATTTGAGTATATTGTAATTGAGTGTATTGTATTTGAGTGTTTTGTATTTGAGTGTATTGTATTTGAGTATACTGTAATTGAGTATATTGTAATTGAGTGTATTGTATTTGGGTGTATTGTATTTGAGTGTATTGTAATTGAGTGTATTGTAATTGAGTGTATTGTATTTGAGCATATTGTATTTGAGAATATTATATTTGAGTGTATTGTAATTGAGTGTATTGTAATTGAGTGTATTGTAATTGGGTGTATTGTATTTGAGTGTATTGTATTTGATTGTATTGTATTTGAGTGTATTGTATTTGAGTATATTGTATTTGAGTTTATTGTAATTGAGTGTATTGTAATTGAGTGTATTGTAATTGAGTATATTGTATTTGAGTATATTGTATTTGAGTGTATTGTAATTGAGTATATTGTAATTGAGTGTATTGTATTTGAGTGTATTGTAATTGAGTGTATTGTAATTGAGTGTATTGTATTTGAGTATATTGTAATTGAGTATATTGTATTTGAGTGTATTGTATTTGAGTATATTGTAATTGAGTATATTGTATTTGATTGTATTGTAATTGAGTGTATTGTAATTGAGTGTATTGTATTTGAGTATATTTTAATTGAGTGCATTGTATTTGAGTGTATTGTATTTGGCTATATTGTTTT